GTGTTTCTGTATCTTTACTAGGTCCCTTTATCGGTATCTTTTCTGGGGTCCTTGTTCTTTGTGTTGCTGTGTCTTCAACAGGTCCCTTAATCGGCATCTTTTCTGGGGCCCTTGTCCCTTTATATTGACTAGGTTCTTGACTCGTGTCTCTTAACACAAGCCTGCCATCATCTGTTTTCTTGTATATTGAACTCGATTCAATCTCTTTGTGAACACTTTCCATTGTGGCTCTAGAGCTTGTAGATTCTGTGGATTTTCTGGACTGCAGTTTTCGGTGTTCATCTAGCGTGGTTTTTCTTGATGTGAATCTCTTGTTTTGGTCTCTTGAGTGTGTGGTTAGAGGGCGTGGTTCATGTCCTGCATCTCTGTAACGATCAGGAAGGCTGTCGTACCTTGGTGGTATAGTAAAGGATGCTCTCATTCTATCTTCCCTCAAGGTACTCCTGTATTCATCAGTAACGCTATCATACCTCGGTGGTATCGTAAGACCATTCTTTCCTACTTCTGGTTTAATGTGTGACTTTTTATCTTTGCTTTGCCGCCTTTTTGTATCTTGAGCATGATCTGCATAGTTCTGCTGAGCTCTGATCGCATCTTGTTTCTTGATGTTTCTTCTTGCTGAAAATTCTCTCTGTTCTTTGGGGCTGTATTCCTGCTGTATTGAGGGCCGATTCTTTTTATTTCCACTTTCTTTTTCACTGTCCACTGGCGTGACATCACCAGACCTGGGATGGAATTCCAAGTGTATTGTGTGACGTCTCCCAATTGTACTGTCATCATTCTTGGTTGGACGCGCAGAAATCATGGATTGTGTTCGAGGAAGAAAGTAGTTGTCTTTTGGGCCTTTTTTGTGATCGGACCATCCTACATCGAATAGTTCATGAGATGATCTTGGCCTTCTGTATTCTGTTAAACGTGACCGAGGTCTCGATTGACGTTCACTTCCGTCACGCATTCTTTTTCTGTCCCGGTCCTCTTGCTTGTATCCTGTTTGATGATGTCTATCTAGTTGCCGTTCAGATTCATTTCTTTGGGGGAGTCCAGAAGACAACTGTTGGACTTCAGACATCGCGATTTCCTCAGATGCCTTCAAAAGAGGAGTTTCCTCTCTCGACTTTGTCAAGAACTGTTCATCGTCATTTATAGCTGAGACATTTTGATAATAGTTATCCTTGGCGTGGAGTATATCATCCTTAGAGCGCGTAGGATGCTTGCTTTTGTGTCTTGTCTCTTCTTTTGCTGCTGGTGGAGGCTGATTTACGTAAAGGGAGTCGGTCTTGTCTTCGAGTGATTGTGGATACACGTAATGAGATGAAGATACATGGCTATCCTTCACGTCTTTCTCCAATGATCTTGGGCGCACGTAATGTGATGAATGGGATCTCTTTATCCCATCTCTCTCATCTTTCTCCAGTGATCTTGGGCGCACGTTATGTGATGAATGAGATCTCTCTTTTCGTTCTGGTTCCAGTGATCGTGGTCGCACATAATGGGAAGATGACTGACTTTCCCTCTTATCTCTCCGCCCTCTCCTACCTTCTCTTTCCAGGGTACGCGGTAGCAAAGAATGTAAATATGAATGGTTACTTCCTCCATCATTTCTTTCCACTGATCGTGGACGGACATAATGATGACTTTTTTCATCATGGCGCGGTGGATGCATGTACAATGACGAAGCCACACCACCATCTCGTTCATCATACTTGTCTATAAAGTTGAGTGATCGTGATGTTTGAGGAGGTGATTGTAAATAATATTGTTCATTTACATAAATGTCATGTACGCTTTTGGATTTCGGTTCCCACTGTTCTTTGCTTCTTCTTGAATGATTCTCGTGAGATCTTCTACGCTCATCGTCTCTTCCTTTTTCTCTGGACACAGCCTTTCCTCTGCCCGATGACTCACTTCTGTGGAAGTTTGGGTCGTCAATCGATAGCGGACATTTCTCCGGGTAGCGTTCGTAGAACTCTTTCCTTTTAACATCAACCCCTCTAGTAGGTTTCTCTTTCTTCTCTTTCTTCTCTTCTACTCTTAATCGTTCTATGGTTCCTAGCTTATCGTCTCGAGGTGCGTTATGTCCATTTTGCATATCGTACAACGGTAGCACATCATACTTTGTTTTGCTTACTGTCCTCGGTGAATGAAGCCAAGCTACGCAAGTATGGTCAAGTAAAGGATCTTCAGATCTGCACACACAGTACAGGATAATCAACAAAACAGTAGTAATAGCAGCGGTACACAAAAAGACTATCACACCAATGGACAGTACTTCTGCCATAATGACTTTATACTACTATATGTTCAAATGATTTTGCTCATTGATATCAATATTGATCCAATTGATACGTACTCGCCAAGGGCATCAGTCAACTGATGTCGTCTGTAAGTTCTTGAAGTTACTCGGTCCTTTGGGTACATATTATCCAGTCTGTAATCTGTGTATTTGACGATGGTTACAAAGAGGCTATCAAAGAATTACTTCACTTGTGTTAACTGTTCGTGATGTTCATACCCAAAGCGTTCGTCTTCGCGTTGTTTTGATTATTTTTCTCTTAGCTGGATGTTTTAGATGCTTAGACACGCTTGATGTGGTCAGGCGTCTTTTAGCTCATTTATCAAGTAAAGCTATTTTTTTCTTGTGGGAACAAGTTTTAACAAATATAATCATCAACTTCAAGTTTCTTGCCCTCTGTATCTCTTTCCTCGCCAATGCAATAGTATTGATACAAGTCGTGTTCACTCTATTATCGTATTAATATAGAGAGAATAAGAATATCGTATTGATAGTTGATTACCATATTTTATTGAAAATGTATGTTCCACACTAGTGATCAGCTGTACCTCTACGTCATACACATACAGTAGGACAGCAGAATCTGTAGTTTCATTGGTTTAACATCATAACACCATAATATAGTTTATTGAGGACTATTTGATATTGGGGACTGGGTGACAACCATCATGCATCGCGCTCCCACATTGCATGATTCTACTTTTCCCTCAACTTTGAGTATTTACTTCGGTAAGATTTGTACTGGAATTGCGCATCAAAAGGGTCTGTGCAGTTGGCTTACGACCCCCTTTCCCCTCGGGAGAAACGGTAAGAGGATGGAATCTCAGTGTTTCACTCATCTTCCAAGTTATATGTTAACTCTTCACCTGGTCCATCCTGAGTGCTTTTTATGACTATCTTTGTTTCAGTTGTATACCTATAATTACCGCCTTACGAATGCATACGACTGAATGGGTTCACTAGGTATTCAGACAGTTATGAATCCATGGAGCTTTAATCGGATCAAAGGCTAAATTTCTTCCATTGTCGTTGATCCTGAATGTTAGTTGTTGTGACAATAAAAGGTACGCAGTCCGTGATTCATAACAAACAGCGATATACTTTATCTCGAATGAGCGAGATCACGAACGTTTATCAACTCTCACTTACGAACACTTCTCTACTTATCAATGAATACAGCCAAGATATCACGCTTTCTTTCTCTAATAATCACAAAAATTGGTGAAGATTTTATGTCTGTAATGTAAAAATAACTCCCTGAAGAACTGTCTACTAAAAGGGGTTATTCACGGGTTGTGATGGTGACAGGAAATATTGCAGATAGACCAGTCGGTGTGGGCTGTTGTTTATATCTTTTTTTTACCAATGGTCAGTATTTTTTTATTATTTATTATTATTATTTCATTTAATTCAATCTCGTTTTGTTTACATATTGTAGTTTAACTCATTCTCACTCAACCGTACAATCAATAATACTTTATTGTTTTTTTTTTTTGCGATTCTGCATGCTTATTTTAAAACAATCTTGTTATTATTCTCAGCCACTAACTCTAGTTGTATTCTATGTTGCAGTTAGGATAATCATCTGGTCATCAAACTATTGAATTGTCTATTAATGATTAAATGATCGCCGTACAATATGCTTTCAACGTTTTTTGTACATTTGGGTTCATTTTTTTTACACCTTCTGAATTACTAGTGTTCAATGATAGATAACGAATAGGTTGTGGAGCAAAATCAACAGATGTTTAGGCACGTTATTTATTGTGTTATTGACTTTCTGCAGCAGTATTCAGCTCCACTGTCACAGTCTCTAGTTGCACAGCTTCCTCCGTGGCCGTCTTGTTTGATGTGGCTTAACAGTGCTGTAAGATCACCGCAGTTGTCTCTGTTTGTTGCGGAGGTGTGTGTATCTGCACATTATGCTCTCTTTTCTTGTTTTCATCACTATCTGGTTCATAAGCACTGTTGACTCCAATGTCTGTAGGATTAATAGGGTCTAGTGGGACTCTAAGTTGCTGGAACTCTCGTCTTGTGCGAGGGTACAGCAGTGCAACACAAGTATGATCACGTACAGGATCATCAGAGCGACAAACGAAGTAGAAGATAATAAGAACTAAGGCAATAATTGCTACTACGACGATGGTTGCAATCACTCCAGGAGACAATCCTTCTAGTGCCATCTCTTTAACCTCCGCGCTAAGCACTTCTCTTGAACGAGGGGCTGAATGCAATCGAGTTCCTGTCAAGAAATATTCCATATATTGTTTGTTGATATGTATTCGGCATATTCCTATCTAATCAAGATAAAATGATTGATTGATTGATAGATTAACTTTTTGAAACCGAACAGAGCGCATATTTTAATCGCGATGGCATCTCTGAATTCATTTAATATAAAATGTATACTGAGCAAGACTTAAGTGGTGTAAACAACAAAAAGGGGTATGTAAATATTATGCAGAAACTAAACGAAGCTGGCTTTTTTAGTTATGTCTCCCTTTGTTACTTTGTAGACCCCGACATCACGAGATCGGGAACTGCTTTCAACCGCCTCAGTTTCGAATTTATGACTCCCATCTTTGAATGACTGGCGTCATTATACTTCGTAACTCTTATGTTATGGAAGAAGTGTTCAAAGGCTAATAATCGTATGATAAGGTCCCTTTAATTTTGTCATATTTATCTTCGAATGTTTTCACGATAACACTATACACAGAATGAACGGTTTTCATGTAACAGAATAATAAGACATTTACTCACAGAGTGAAAGAGGCTTGAGCTTGGTACAACTTTTGACGCTGGATTCTAATTTTATCGAATATTTTTTGACGAGTAAAAAAATTAATATCGTCAGTCGGAACAGTCGGATGGTCTTAGCAAGGGCTGAAATGCTAATGAGTTGTGGGTCAGCGATTATGGGCAATAATATGTTAGTCAGAACTGGACTTTGATTATTGGATTATTATAGGTGGCAAGACATGTTGCACCATGGGAGCCATTCTCGGTAAAAACAGCACAACATATATTCTATTTATAGTAAAAATACGTACATACCGACTTGCAAAGGGATGTAATACCACTGAATATTGACCTCGGTTGTTGTAATAATCTCTAGATAGGGTCCTCTGGATATAGTTGTGAGATTAAAGGCATGAAGGTGTAAAGTCTTCAAGCTCTGGTTGGATTGTAATCCCGTAGTCCAGTTCAGACCCCCACCCCACCCCCACTGGTCCGTGTTTAGTAAGGCTTCTTGTATGTCCTGTTCCGGACCTCCAAGACAGAATAACTAAGTGAGGTTTAGATAACCCATTGAGGATGTTCAGTACTTGACTTCTTTATCTACTTTATATTACATTCCACCTGGGTCAAACATTCTAGTTTCTGTTATAACAGGTTATAAACATACTTTACATGTTCCGTAGGGGGAAAATATCTTCTCCCTCAATGAAGCATTTTATTCCCCAAACAGCGTTGTGTATCACTTCACGTCACTCATTTTGTCGCACTAGAATAGTAGCTATGTCCCACTACGAAACAATCTTAGCAACATCGAATTTCATCATAACCGCGGTTTCTGTTGTTTTTTTTAAATAAATTTGTCATCACTTATCATCACCGCAAGTACAGCAGTGGCGCAGATCAACAGGATCGAACTGAAAGCATGTGAAGGTGCTTCTGGCAGCCGCTATACAGTCCATGTATGACCCCAGAGCACAGCTCTAACCAGTTTGAATTAGTYAGGGTTGATTTGAGAGGAGGGAGGAAAAACCGGTGGACCGGAAAAACCCTCGGGTCAGAAAGAGAACCAACCAACTCAGCCCACATGGGACGACTGGGATACACAACCCGGACCACAGGGGTGAGAGGCGAGCGTTTTACCCCCACGTGATCCCGACTACCCAGCATACTATCGTCCTATAATTACTGACTTCTTTACTACATGTCCATTACAACCCGTTATTTTATCATGAATAATGTCGAAAAGCGCCCTTTCTCCAGTATAGGACTAACCAGAGTTAGACCATGTTCTCGTATCTATCTAGCTTTATACTTATTTTGAGTTTAAGACCACAAATTTAAAAGTCTCTCCGCCGGCTTTCTTTCGTTCAAAAAGTAGGCTGTTCACACGCTGTTCACACACCATGCTTTGAAGCCAAAACAATGTTCGTTAATTTTTCTAAAGCTCTTTCAGCTCTATAGTACTTAAATAGAATATTTTCCATATGTACGAATCTTCTATTCCAGTTCGATCATTTCTGATCAAAGGTTRAACTGAGTACCACCAAAGATTGAAATTCAACACGCATTTTCTCGACTGACTACCCCCAGGCAGTTGAACTGTGGTATTAGTAAGGTAATATAAGAAATGGGATACCATGTACGATGACAGCTCAATGGATTGAATGGATTGATGGATGTGGGAAAAAGAAAGACGAAATAGAGTGGCACAATGGATGGATGGATGAATGAATGGATGAATGTATAGTAAAGACGTATAATGCATCTATTACTTCATGCGTGTAGTGTAAAGATGGTCAAATACAAGACGAATTTTTGATGCATGCAAGTGAAATAGGCCTGGCATTAGTATATTTAATTACGCAGGAAATTCCAGGTTTTGTACTTCCTTCATCTGTTGCTCGTCTTTATACGGTTACACCAACGTTCTTTCAGACGACCTTCTCTTTAAATAATTTTTCGTTCAAGAAGCACTTAATCAAAAAGTGCGTCTTAACGAATAATGCGTTTGTGCCCCGCGTCTTCATACGTGACGAAGTTAGAGATAAAAAGAAACAGCAGAAACGTTCGCGCAAGTCTGTCCGAACGTATTATGCGTTTTTAGTATAAAAGCGGCCAATGAATGAATGTAGTGGTTAGGAAACAAAAAATCCTCAGCAGAGATGCTATATTGTCCAATTAGAGGGAAGAACACTTGACGTATAGTTTATAAGGCACTCAATGCAGATCAAGTTGTTACATACCCTTCTGTTACTCTCTTCCCAGACCCTACAACTATTACACGGAACAGTTTGGACGCGCGATGCTCTGAGAAGCGATTGTTTCTTGGCGCTTTTCCATGTGTGTTCCGGGTCAGTTGCTTAAACGTTTGTTACTATATTTAGTTATATTGGAGATGCAAAGCAGCCTGACATGATTAAATATACAATTGTTCACTGTATACATGAATAATATAGCTAGAAACTGATATTTTGGCATCCAGCCATGGCTCAGTACTTTGCTGACTATGAATTCTCTACATCAACAACATATTTACTCTTCGAAAGCATGCTTTTGAATATTTCAGTTTCTTGGCTAAGTTTCACTTTTTCCATGATGTAAGAAGTATGGAACATGGATAGGATGTTAAGAAATGTGGAGTTAATGTGACTTTAGATCGCATGTGCTAATATATGGACGCTTTGAATAGCACTAATGTCTGACACAAGTTTGTAAAGTCTACTACAAAATTAGATATAGGACCACTAATAAAATACGGCCATCAGAACTGATGCATTGTAACAGATGCTGTTCCTTGAATCTAAAGTGTTGAGCATGTAAATTTATAGCCAAATGTTCGGTGTTTCATTGTCATTTTTCATTATCTCGAAGTTTTCCTCGTCGGGTTTCTTGAGAAGAGATGGTGTGGAATCCGAATTTTTCTTGTCCTCAAAAAGTCTTAGTTCTTTGTGCTTTCGACAATAATATATATATATAAGAACAACACATCCGACAATGATCATCAGCACTCCATAAGACGTTAAGAACGCGCCATAAGCATACGCAGTCTTGAAGCTTACGGTACACATAGTATCCTGTATACAGAACGAAGAGAAAAAGAAAGCAATAAAGAACGTCCACTTAGTCATGTTATGGTAGATTCTTAGTCACTTGTTCCTTCTACTTAATTCTGTGCGAGAACGGTGAACCTTACAACTTGTTACAGAAAGTATTAGTTATCTTGCGAGGCATTCGAGGTATTTCTCGAGGTGTTTTCAGACCTTGAATGTTAAGTGAACAGTATGTTGTATGTTGCATGAGTAACCAAGCGACTCTTTAGTGAATCTATTAATCCTATTCATCATGTTAATTGCCGGCTTCTATTTTGTCATTCTCTTCGATGGCTAACTAATCACAGTGGATGTGATCGTGTCACGTTTTTTTCATCTAAAATCAAACAATAATAAAATCAAATAAAAGTTTTGAAAATTTATCAACACCAAAACATGCAAAGAACCTCAAAAAAAGAATGGAGCTTGGTCCTTTTTTCTCTCTACGCGCAGCTGGTAAATATGGGACGATACCATTGGCGTTCCACAAGAACGAAGCTGGGTCCCTTTTTTCCTAAAAGTTAATGCGAACGTTGAGTTAAATGCAATCTACCTAAGTTGTGCTATCATTTTATCGTCAGCATATGACGACACATTGATTCTCTTTTTCAGATAACAAAGAGAATAGTGACCTTGTACGTTGATGATATCCTGGCCATCGAGACGTGTGGAATGAGTGAAGATGATATGGTCAGCGTTATAGGACAAAATATAACGAGACATTTGATTGGTCGGTATAGATCTGGCGAGGTGATTGGCTGTCGCTTCAACCCTGGTAGAAGAGAAAGATGTAATATGAGGAATTATGCAGGTATGGACTTATTATGGAAATATTTGTGGTGACGCATGCGCAATCAATATGATTTTAACATCAACAAAACGTCTTTCAATTCAAGGTAATAAAGTCCAACCATGTCCTGCTTTATGTAAAGTCAAAGATAGTTATACTGGCTGTGAGCTAACTTCAGAAAAGGTATGTCACTTTGATGTTTTGAAACTTAACGTTATTATTTCCTGGTAGTTTCACTCGCTACATCTTTAACATAATGATGTTTGTTTTCTTCAGATGGGGCTTCGGATTAGTGACGTCATTATACTTCAATCTTTGTTGTCATGGTTACACGATCGAATAACAACAGCCATCAGTCGTTTTGATTCGGTGCCGGTTTTCCATGGCATTAGTGGAGAGTTTGACCGACAGTCTATTCTTAGTGAGTCGTATTGTCAGAATGGACCAACCTTGGACGGCAGTAGTCAAGGTAACTAACTATCTATCTATCTATGACACTGTCCATTGTACTGTCTATCATACTGTCTATCATACTGTCTATCATACTGTCTATCATACTGCCATTAGGAGACTATTGGTTTTCTTTACATTTGCGCGCAGGTCCTATTCTCTCTCTCTCTCTTTTATAATGATAATAATTTATTTCTTCTATTCCTCAAAAAACATACAATATGATGTATTTCGCATTACCATATCATAATCTAAAATTAARAATAAAAACATTTGAAATTTGAAACTTAATAACATTAAAAACAATTCATAAAATGTGTAAAAGTGTAATGAAATTAAATAAGATATGTATAAGTTATTTCTCTTGATAAGTTCATTAAAGTGTTCATTTTTAAACATGTCACAAGTGAGGGCCCAAGCTGCTTCTTACATCATAAAAACTTGATTTGAATAGAATATCGTCATGTCCTGATCTGTTGCAGGTTTCCAACAGCATTCACTTGGAAATGGAGAAGAGGACTATCTTAGACTTGCACAGTCGCTTGACGTGTCACTTGATGAATGTTCAGCTGATCTGGAAGGGAATCTCAACGCTCAAGATAAACTGTTAGCTTACAGGGTATGAACAATCACAAAAACACTAAATGAATAACACAATTTCAACAATAACAACAGCGTCAACACTAGCGCAAGTGACAAGTACAGTAACAATGTAGCGAACAATTTTTAAATCTTTTTTTGCAGTTGAACGAGATATTCAAGAAGATTCTGCACGAGCTTCTTAATCTATCATTACCATCATTCAGCATAAGAAGGCGTCTTCAACCTGCAATTGACTTCTTACGAAGACGTTTGACCGCCATACATAGAGTAATGCTTCGAGATAGATTTATGGTGTTAATCAGACGTTTATTGCGGCACGTTGTCCAGGTATTTCCATAACCTCTTTCTCTTGCTATCCTTTTTCCAAACAAAATCTTCTGTAAAAATAAAACAAAAGATATCATGCATTCTCTTGTTATCATTTCCTTTTCACCATAACAAAAAAACTTTGAGCTGCCATTGTGTGAGGTTTCTCYATTACTTGCTTAAAGTAATGATTTGAGAAGCCAAGGTCATTATTTTAACGAAATTTCTTTTACATGTAGGATTTTGAAGAAGAAGTTGAACAGTTGAAGGAAAGACGTCCAGGTGCCTCAGAGCACGCAGGGCTTCTAATGATGTCACTTGCGGTGAGTCTGATCGAGTCACTCCTCTGTGATCTGACTTGCGCATGCGCACAGATTCGTTTGAAACTAAAAGCAGCTACGAGGTTGAATTCATAAAAAAAATGTTAAATGTTTGATTTGTCTCATTAACTTGGTTTTCTTTTTCTTCTTTAGCATTTGATGCAGCTTTTCCACAATCAAAAACAAGGACTAAGCTCTGAGGAACTTAACATAGCCACGGTATAATGTTTGATCCGATCCCGCTAAACACGACACGCTTTAGACATGCAGTTATTGATTTTTATTCGTCTTGCCTTTTAGGAAACGGTTTCTAAACATATTGAGTTATATACAAGTTCTACTATTAGACTGATTCGATTGTACCAATGGCTTCGTCAACAGGTAATAAATGAGTCCTGATCTTGAACATATCATCGCCACTACAACCATCGTCATCACAGTTTTCCTCGTGGCTCGAGATCGGCCTTGAGGCACTTCATAACTATCAGTATCATCATGATTATCACCACTAGCAACACCATCATCATCATCAACACCATCGTTATCACCAGCAACATTATCATTATCATCACTAGCAACACAACAATCATCATCCCCATTATCACCACTATCACCACTATCACCGCCATCGCCATCAAACATTGTCACCATCACCATTAACATTACCGCCATCGCCATCAAACATTGTTACCATCACCATTAACATTACCGCCATCGCCATCA